GTTCACCTTCCCCCTTTTCCCCCTGAAGACCAAGGGTAGGAGACTGTGGGCCAGGTCCAGCCCCAGCGGTAGAGGCCTGCTGAGTTGATTTGTATTTTAAGCGATATCCGTAGAACTGGAGGTAGCGAATCAGTTCATGGGTCAGTCGCCGATAGCGTTTTCGTTCCCTGTCCGTAAGAATGTCGTAGGGCACTAGAAGCTGATGTACACCGCCACCTTAACGGGGAAGAAAACAGCTGATGAGTTAGTTGAACCCCAAAGTGCTTTCGAAATAGGCAACTAGTAACTTTAAGGAGTCAACTGTGCACAAGCTGGAGACTAACGTCCTGAAAAAAAACTCGACTCTTACCGATAGCCTCAAGGTCCTGCATCTTTTGCTTGGCCCAGATCTGATGGGCATTGTCAGCCAAGCGTTCGGCTAAATCAATCAACTCTCGTGTAACATTGACACTGTGCAGATCCTTCGGGGCAGGGTTATAGCCCTGTGGATTTTCCATCTAAAAGACAATCAGCAAGCATGTCTGAAAAACGTCAGTAAACTCCTGCTAGTATCCACGAAACGCAGTTTAGCACTTATTATGTAAACTGACAAATACGGTAAGTGAGACAGCGATACTGATTGCACTGTCGGCAGAAATAGGTTTAAAATGATATTTCGGTCAAAGAGCCAACTTACGGTCAGTGTTGGACGTCGACGACGAAAACCAACCTCACCCTCATGATGTATAGATGAAGTGTCTATTGTCCATCCAAGCACCATCATTGCCCTCAGCGTATCCGTGACCGGATGGATGTATCTTATTTGCTCCTGCATCAACAAGAGGTGCATATATGTTCACTTTTGTACAAGATGTATCGCTTTAAAAGACTCTCTTAAAGAAGTTCCGTATTTGGTATACAAGTGTTAGAACAAAAACAGCAGACCAGGGTTGTGGGCTTACGTGCTGAGAGAGACTGTGGAAAGGACGGATGTTGGGATGGGTACGCCGACTTTCGTCGAGAGTGGGGCCGTAGACATAGCCCTGTTCAACTAATTCATGCGCCCAGACGTCATGACAGTGCTGAGCAAATTGATCCACAAGATAACTGAGGGCGTTGGGCAGACGAATCTAGGGGTGGAAAGAGGTAGTTGAAGGGAGTCTTTAACTCACGACCATCTCAGCAAGGAGCACGTAAAAAAGTAAGAGATAAGAAGCCTAGCAGGAAAGAACTAAGACAGTATTTGGAGACTAAAAAGGGGAAATTCAAGTGAATCGAATCAAACAGGAGTATGGCCGAATTCGAGGACGACAAGGCAGACAAATCGAGACAGACAAGGACAAGTTTGGACAGTTATGCAAAAAGCTATCAATAACCACCAATGGGAAGTTAGAAAGCAGACCTGAGCTGTCTCCAGGGGTTCCGGTCTGAAGGCCTCATATGATTGCGCAGATTGACGTGCGTCGCTGTCTGGACCACCAGGCGGAGACAGTGGCACTAAGCAAAGTAAGAGAATGGCAAGAGTTTAAAAAAAAATAGGGTTCGTAAAAGTAAGTAATTTGGTCGCACGAGTGGGGCGCTTATCAAGAAGAATAAAGGAACACCTCCCAGTAGGGCTAAGAAAATGTGAGGTCAGGAGCATAAACAGCGCTATTCTCGCGCACATCAGGTTGACCCCGATGAAGCTTCTTGGATGATTTATAAGGTCCCGCTAAACCATCCCAATTCCCTGGGCCAAGGCATGTTATCAACAGATTGAGGAAGCCACAATAGAGCCTTCTGCAATTTCCGCGCCTGACATTGGCAATGGCCGTT